CCTTCAGCATGCTGAGAAGGGTGGCTGGCTCTTACTGTTCTACACAAAATAAACAAGACTTCTGGAAGATTTCTTATTGAAACCTGAAGTGTGAGAGTCTCTATCTCATTTCCACTAACATAGGAAATGAAAGAACAAAACCATAATGATCAGGGTGAGCAGAAACAAGATTTTAATATATTCAAGTGTGGAATTTTCTATTTATAATAAATAAGTTTTACCCACCCCTATCAGTAAGCACTTTGGTTTTTAAAAAAATTTTTTTAGTTGTAGATGGACACAACACTCCCATTTTTTTTTTAATTTATTTTTTTTATGTGGTGCTGAGGATCAAACCCAGTGCCTCACACATGCCAGGCAATCACTCTACCGCTGAGCCACAACCCCAGCCCCAGCACTTTGTTTTTTATGCAGAAATTCAGTTACCATCCCCATCCCCAGTCCTCCTTTCCCCACACCTCCTTCTTTGGTCTCCTAAAGCCCAGGGTGAAGTGGTGAATGGCATTTTCCATGGCATGAGATTTGAAATTGGTGGGCTGTCCTTACAGCCAGGTCAGGAGTGTGGTCTATGAGCGGGCTCTCTCCACTCTTGGGGAGGGCTGGGCATGTGTTGGGCAGGATGCCTCGAGGATGGAATCTCTAGTGCAGCTCAAGAAAGACTGTAGTGGTGAGAGGAGGGGCCAGGACTCCGGTGAAGGTGTAACATGTGCAGCTGCTGAATTTGGCAGGCAGGATCTGATAGTAAAGACACTGTATACAAGATAGCATTTATTTTAGTAACAATATGGAAACGAGCAAAAGCAAAGTGACAGGTGAGAGAGAAAGAGAAGAAAATACATCACCACATAGGGGAAACCCCAACACCTGATCACGCAGCTGGGAAGTCCTGGGGTAGCTTTCCTTGGTACAGTGTCATTCCCAGTGGGACTCCTTAAATACAAGTGAAACAGATATGTTCTAACAACCTGCATGAGCTGATGGTCCCCTCAAGGACACTCCATCCCCCGCCAGGACTGGTCAGATCTCCACAGGGAGAGAGTGACAGCCTTGAGATAGGTGAATGACTTGAGTTCTTTGAGTGAGCCAAACCCACTGAGAAGCCAGCTTTCTTCAGATGTTCCATCAAGGGTGTGTGAAGGTTATGGCAGGTGCACGGACAGGGAAGAGCTTCAGTATTTTTCTAGCACTTTAGAATGTCCCAGGCCAGTGTCTGAGGGCACCAAGAGAGAACTGCAGCTTCACAGTCACTTTGAGAGGTCTCCTGGTGTGACATGGATAGTTAACTGCAGCTGGGAAGATATGAATGAACTACTTTTGACAATAAATAGGTGACAAAAAAGGAAGACTTAAGACATATGAACCAAATGCAGCAATGGATGCTCCTAGTTTGAACCTGAGTTTTTGTTTGTCTAACTATACAATTTGTTTGAAATAGTTGGAGAAATCTGTGTATTAATTGGGTATTTGATATTAAAGAATTATGATTATTTTCAATAGTGGATGTTAGAGACTTCTTTCAACTACATGACTACAATTTTTTAGAAGAAACCTGATGATGCTGGGGTTTGCTGGGTGAGTCTGTTCCCAGTGGGCTGGGCCCTCTGACAAGTCCCACTGTGGTGATGGCCGTGTGGGCAGTTCCTAAGCTGCAGTACCCATAATCCTTGGGGTGCCAGGGATAGCATGTGGCCTGCAGCTCCTAGGGGCCATGCACTGAAGGTAATGTAGGCAGAATGCTGGATAACACTACCCAGAATCCTCAGGGGCCCACAGTTCCCAGGAGCTTCTGGTGAGAACTGCAGGGGCAGAACAACTACTGCTCATAATTCAAGGGGGCTCCTGGCCATTGTGTGGCCTGCAGTTCCCAGAGGTCTTAGTGGAGAATTCCTGGCTGGGAAGGCAGTCGTTGGGATTCTCTACACAAAATCCTGAGTGTGCCAGAAGCCTTTGGGAGAATCCTTGGCTGGGCAGGCAATACTGGGATATGCTACTCAGAATCCACAGTGTGCCAGAGGCCTTTGTGGAGAATCCTTGGCTGGGCAGTCAGTCACTGGGATAACTCTACCCAGAATTCTCAGTGTACCAGGGCCTTTGTGGAGAATCTTTGGCTGGGCAGGCAGTCGCTGGATAATCTACCTAGAATTTTCAGTGTAGCAGAAGCCTTTGTGGAGAATCATTGGCTGGGCAGGCAGTTGCTGGGATGCTTTACCCAGAACCCTCAGTGTATGAGAGGCCTTTTGTAGAATTTTTGCAGGGCAGGTGATTGGTGCTACTCAGAATTCTCAGTGTGTCAGAGGGCTGTGAGGAGAATCTTTGGCTGGGCAGACAGTCTTGGGATATCCTACCCAGAATCCTCAGGGTAGCCCTGATGTGGACAATCCTTGGCTGGACAGGCAGTGGCTGGAATACTCTACACAGAATCCTCAGTTTACCATAGGCTGTTGTGGAGAATGCCTTGCTAGATAGGCAATTGCTGGGATACTCTACCCAGAATCCTCAGTGTACCTAGAGGCCTTTGTGGAGAATCCTTTGGTGGGCAGGCATCTGTGGGATGTTCTACCTAGAATCATCAGTGTGCCAAGGCAAGCACACAGTCCAATGATTTCACAGCCTTCTTGGTGGGTTCTGAGCAGCAGAATGCTGACTACACTTTCAGAGTCCTCAGGGTGGCTTGTAAAAATGTGGTAAGCAGTTCCCAGGAGCCTCTGGGGTTAAGATGGCCCGTACTCCCGAGGATCCTTCAGGAACTGCAGTTACCAGAGCCCTCTGCAGTAAGGGCAGCATAGGTCCAATGTAGACTGTACTATTCATAACCCTCAGTAACCTGCAGCTTGCAGAGACTTTAGCAGTGAGGGTTTTACTGACAAAATGACAAACTATGCTACCCATTACCCTTGGGTGCCTCTGTTCCCAGGAGCCTCTGGAGTGAGAGCTGCAAGGGCAGAATACCAGACTTAATGCTCAGAATCCCTGGGGATGACTGCATACCCTGTAACCCTGTAACTTCCAGAGGTTTCTGTGGAGAGAATTGTATTGGTAGAGCACACTACCTAGAATCTCCAGGGTACCAGGGAAAGCATGGCATCTGTAGCTCCTGTGATTCTGCCAGCAGGGCTGAAACACTAGACTACATTATTCAGAACCCTCAGGGCTGCAACTCCCCAAACCTTCTGTGGTAAGTGGGCAAGCCATCGGATTGCAGTGCCCATAATCCTAAGGGGGACTTTAGCCTCCAGAATTCTCTGAGTGGCAAAACACTGGGTTACATTACCCCCAACCCTCAGGGGGTGTAGCTCTAAAGATCCTCTGTGGTGAGAACCATAGGGCAGAGAATTTAACTATACTATCTAAAATCCCTGGGGGGGGGGGGAAGGTGTTGCCCCCGTGAGTATGCAACCTACAACTCTTAGAGGTCTTCACAGTGAGGGCTGTGCAGGCAGAAGGCCAAACTACACTACCCAGAATTCTGTGGGGCCTGGAGCTCCCAGATACCTTCTTGTTTAGGGCTGCTCGGACAAGCTTTGTGTTGAGTATAGAGATTCATCTTGGGTGTTCAGGCAGATCCCAGGAGTCTTGATGATGGGGTCCACTTAGATAGGATGGACTGCCTTATCCAGAATAATCAGTGGCCCACAGCTCTCAGAGACCTTTGACATCAGGGCTCCCTGAGTAGAATTGACTACAATACCCAGAATTCCTGGGGGCTCAGAGCACCAGGTACCACTATAGTGTGATCTGCAACAACATAGCACCAAGCTACAGTGTCCCTGATGCTTGGGGTCCTGCAGCTCCCAGAAGCCTCTGTGCTGAGGTCTGCATGGGCAGAACACAGGACTATGCTTTCCAGAATCCCTAGGGGCTCCTGTGTGATGGGGTAGCCTGCAGCTCTCAGAGACCTCTGCAATGAGGGCTGCATTGTAAAATACTGGATTACACTAGCCAGAATCCTGGGGGTATGTGCTACTTACAACCTCCCCAGACTTCTGTCAGTGCTGCATGGGCAAAACACCAGAATACAGGTTACCTGGGCCAGCACAGGGCAAACAACCCACATGGCCCTCTGTAGGAAGGGCTGCATGGGCAGAACACCATATTACACAGTTCAGAATCCCTGAGAATTCTGAATGAATGTGTAGCCTGCAGCTCCTAGAGGCATCCATGATGAGAGCTGAATTATCTAGAATGAATTATCTAAAATCATCTAGAATGTCCCAGGGCTGGGGGGTGAAGCCTGCAGTTCCCAGAGGCCACCAGGTTCTTCTCACCTTGACAGTGGCCACCATGGGCTGGGATTTAGCTTTTTTTTTTTTTTTTTTTTTTGGCACCAGGTAGTGAACACAAGGGTGCTTAACAACTGAGCCACATCCCCAGTTGTTTTGGTTTTTTATTTTGAAACAGGGTCTTGCTAAGATGCTTAGGGTATCACTAAAGTGCTGAAGCTGGCCTTGAACCTGCGATCCTCCTGGCTCAGCCTTCAGAGCCACTGGGATTACAGATGTGTGCCACTGCGCCCAGCCTTAAAATTTTTTCTTAAAACCCATGATCCTAAAATAGGGCAGTCTCTGGCTAAGTCACTCTGTCCTAAAGACTACAATTCCCAGAGACCTCTGTAGTGGCCTGTTTCTAGCCTTCTGCTGTTGGGTGCAAGTGTAGGGGCTCCCTTCAGCTACATATTTCTTCACCTCTGCCCGCCTGGGCTCCTGGCTGCAGCAGTGCGTGGCCTGGTGGAGGGCAAGGCTCGGGTGCAGGGAGCTGGACTTCTGGACTCCCTTTTTTCCTCTCCTGAGATTTCACTCCACGATGCAACAGAAAACACAGGCAAAGCTAGTTACGGCAGTGGGAACAGATTTTATTCAGTAACAGCTGAGGGTGGAGAAAGTGCTGAGAGTCACTAGGAAGCCAGGAGCAGCACCTCCTCTGAGCAGTGAGCAGCAGCTCCTACTGTGGGCGTGGCCAACAAGGGGGCGGAACCTCACCACCATCTTTGATGCCTCCCAGGGTGAGGACGAGAATTCCTGCTTCAGGACCAACCCGGGAGAGCCTGGCTCCGGGACACTGTGGGTCACCCCTCAGGGAGGGGCAAAACTGCCTTCTCAGAGCAGCGGGAGGGAGATGTCTGGCTTGGGGACACTCAGAGTTCCCTTGTCCGCAGGGCTGCTTAAGGCAAACACCTGGTTCAGGGACACTGTGGGTCAGGTCTCTAGGGACACCCGGGCTCCTTTCTCCTCAGAGCTGCCTCAGGCAGATACCTGGTTCAGGGACACTGTGGATCATGTTTCTAGGGATGCCCAGAGGTGAGATTCACTGTGGTATATATATACATAATTTGGTCAGTTTCATTCTGTGGTTCCTCCCTTTTCCCATCCCTCTTTTCTCCTGCTACATCCTGTTCTGTTCCACTGACCTCCCTTCTATTGTTATGGGATCTCCCCCCTTTTATATTTCCTTATTTATATCTAGTTTCTGTGTATGAGATAAAACATTTGACCCTTGGCTTTCTGAGTTTGGCTTATTTCACATAGCATGATGTTCTACAGTTCCACTCATTTACCAGCAGATGCAGTAATTTCATTCTTCTTTATGGCTGAGTGAAACTCTGTTGCGTGTATATACCATGCTTTCTTTATCTTTTCAGCTGTTGACAGACACCTGGTATGATTCCATAGCTTGGCTATTGTGAATTGTGCTGGCTTAAACATTGATATGTCTGTATTACTACAGCATGCTGATTTTAGTTCTTTTGGATAAATACCAAAAAGGGGGGGGGGCGGGGGCGGACAGCTGAATCATGTGATGACTTCATTTCTAGTTTTTTGACGAATTTCTGTACTGCTTTCCAGAGTGGTTGCAGTCCCATGTAAACAACAGGTAAGTGTATCTTTTTCCACATCCTCACCAGAGTTTGTTATTTTTTTGTATTCTTGATGTTTGCCATTCTAACTGGAGAAATATTAATGCAGATTTGATTTGCATTTCTCTGATGGCCAGGGATGCTGAACCTTTTTTTCCCCCACATATTTTTTGGCCATTTGTATTTCTCCTTTTGAAAAATGTCTGTTTAGTTCTTTCACCCATTTTTGATTGAGCTATTAATTTTTCTGATGTTAAGTGTTTTGAGTTATTTGTATTTCTGGATATTAATCCCTTGATGAAAGAGTAGATGGAAAAGATTTTCTCCTATTCTGAGGGGCTCTTTTCATGAGCCTATTTCCTTTACTGGGCAGAGCATTTTAATTTGAAGGCATCCTACTTATGAGTCTTGGTTTTAGTTTTTGAACTTTATGGATCTTCTTGAGGAAGTCAGTGCCTGCACCAATATGATGGAGAGTCAGGTTTCTATGAGCTCAATCTAGCTTTTCCACTGACTTACATCTTCATTTTAGAAATCATTTGTCTTGAATTGGTTGATCTATAATAAATAGCACCTTTCATTATAGTTTTCAAGTGCTCTACAGCTTCTGCCAAAATAGTTCATTGTGTATGAACATTATTAAAATGCATTTAAATGATACATTTAAATAATATTAAAGAATTTTAAATAATCATAAAGATGAATGTAGAATAAAAGGAATTGGGTTTTATAATGATACTGTATCCCTCTCCTTAAAAAAAAAATATATATATATATATTTTTTTTAGTACTGGAGATTGAACCCAGGACTTCATTTATCCTATATAAGTGCTCTACCACTGAGCAACTTCTTTTTTGAGACAGGATCTTGCTAAATTGCCCAGACTGGCCTCAGACTTAGGATTTTCCTTTCTCAGTCTCCCTAGTAGCTGGGATTATGAGTGTATACCACCATGCCTGGTTCTTCTTTTTCAGTGGAATACCTGCTACTTCCACGCACCTTAAGGTGGCTGGTATAGAGCAGGCAGTGGTGGTAGATGGCCTAGGGACTTCTGCCCAGGATTCAGGGAAGCTGCTGGTGACTAGTGCATCAGGTGGTAGGTGGTAGGTCAAGCAGTCTGTCACTGCCTCTGCCCAGTTCAGGTCAGTTTCCCTGGGGTGGATTATTGGGATGGAAGGTTAGAGAATGAGGGGCTCTGAGCTAGTGACCAGGAAGGCCACTATTCCTCACCACTTATGGTCCTGTTGGCTTCCACCCTCCTCCAGACCCCTCCTCCAGGCCCTGCTTCCCTTCTCCTGACCCCACCCCATCCTCCAGACCACATCCTCCACAGGCTCTGCCCTGAACCTACCCCTGCCCCCACCCCTACTCCAGGCTGTGTTTCTTCTGACCCCTGCCCTATCCAGACCCTGGCCCTCTTCCAGACCCTGCCCTGTTTCCAGGCCCCACCCTTCTCCAGATCCACTCTCGCAGCCACAGCTCAGTGCACTAATTGACAGTACATTTGCAGTGGGGCCCAAAATAGCCTGTTGTATAAATATTGACATTCTACATTGGATTAAATATCTTGACTATATCAAGCTTTGATGGAACATAAATTGAATTTAGGAAAGTCACCTCTTCTGTCTAGATCATAAAAATTTGAAATAAAATCAGAATTTGTTAAAGGTCCGGTAATGCTCAGCTGTAAGCCCCAATGACCCAAAGTTCTTTTCCAGTAGGAGATCTCTAAGCACCAGTCCAAACTTTTCTATGCTAATTGATTGATTGAGTTTTCTTATTTTGGTTGTTTTGCAATGTCTGTATTACTAGGAAATGCCCTGTGTCTTCCAGGTTTCCAGTTATGTGCAGTAGATTTCTTGTATTCAATTTTTAATTTCTTCTTTTTAGTTTTCTACAGAATTCTTAATACTGTGAACTTCTGCTGTTTTCCATCAGCAATATATTTTTTAATAATTGTTTTTTAGGTGTAGGTGGACACAATGCCTTTATTTTATTTACTTATTTTTATGTGGTGCTGAGGATCAAACCCAGGGCCTTGCCCATACTAGGTGAGCGCTCTACTGCTGAGCTACAATCCCAGCCCTGTCCATCAGCAATATTTTAAAAATATACTTTTAGCTTTCTTGGTTTTTCATTAAAAGAATTGTCTTGTTTGAAAATTCTCATGATAATCTTAACTGATTTTAATTATTTTCTGCTTATTAAGATGTCTTTGGGGACTGGGTATACAGCTCAGTGACAGCAATTGCTTAGCAGTTGAAAGGCCCTGGGTTTCTACCCAGCGTCTCACACACACACACACACACACACACACACACACACACAATGCTTTGATAGGACTCAAGCATCAGAGGTATCCAGAGGTATGTTAAAAAAATCATGTATTTACACATATACGCATACACCACAATACCTCTTCCAGATTTAGATGAAATTATTCTAAGAAGAAATTTCAATGTCAACTATTATATTGAATGATACTTAAAACCACTACAAATGAAATTTCCTTTGGACTCTAATCATTACAATGCATAAGAGACAAGTCAATAGCTGGTTTTTGTAATTAAGAAATATTTACTAAAAATAAACTTTTTAAAACATTTTCTTTTCTACTTTTCAATTTAGAAAGCATATCCCTATGTCTTATTAAAGTTCTACATTTTTTGTTTATTTATTTTTATGTGGTGCTGAGATTTGAACCCAGTACCTCACACATGCTAGGAAAGCACACTACCACTGAGTCACATTCCCAGCCCCTAAAGTTTTACATTTATAAAAAGTTAGTTCTCTTATTCATTTCAAGCAAGGGATTGGGTATTCTGATGAGCATGATGCTTTATATATTGCCAGGAATTCTTGTTAGATAACTCTGTTAGTGTTTTATATCAGTTCAAAATATCATTTAAAAATATGCCATTGTGTTTTGAGTTCAAAAATTTGAATTTCTTCTTTTGAGATTATATGCTTATTAATACTTAGAATTATTTCATATGAAGTGCCATAATTACATTTTATCCTAATGTTTGTGCCCCTATGTGCTTACAAATTGGCTTTTAGAACAGAGTTGAGTTTATCTCATATCTGTTGGATTCATTAGAAAAGTATATATACTTTTTATTATATTTAAAATGTTATATTTGAATTAGTAGAACCAGAGGTTAGATATGTTAGTGTTGTGAGCTGAACAAAGTGCAGGTTTACTTTAATTGTTTTTGGGAGGTTGATATAATGGCTTCTTCCCTGTTTTACTCCTGCTATGGTTGTCTATGATCATATGTCTGGCCTGGAGAATTTTTTTTCACACTGGGTGTTGAACGCAGGGCCTTGTATGTGCTTGGCAAGCACTTAGCTACATACATCCCCAGCCCTTTTTAAAATTTAATTTTGAGAAGGGTCTTGCTATATTGCCCAGGTGAGCCTCAAATTTATGATCCTCTTGCCTTAGCCTCCCAAGTAACTGGGATGACAGGCATGTGTCAAAGTGCCTGGCATGTCCTGGAGGATTTTGATACCAGTATTACATGTTTCCAATGTGTTAATAATTTCATAAGCTATATTATGTCCATTTTTCTTCTCAACAGTCAATAAAGCCTTTCTGTTTTTTCAATGGTATGCTTAATATGAACATGCTTTATGATGTGTTCCTGTTGTTCATGACAGTCTAGTTATGCAATTCACAGTAAGAGTATTTTGATTCTGATAGTCTCAATGGTGTTTCAAGTCCAACATATTTTCCTGGAAGCAGTGATTATTCATTTCCTATTTGATTATACAAATAAGATACAAATTCTTTTTTTTTCTTTTATGGTGCTTGGGATTGAACCCAGGGCCTCCTGAATGTTGGGCAAACACTCTCCCCCTGAGCTGCATTGACAGCTCCATAGATCCTTTAGTTGTGATTAGCTTCATGACTAGCTAGAATGATAATAAAATTATATAGAAGTTCTACTGAATTTGAAACATTCAAGAGTCTGGACATCTAATAATTCTTTGTGATTTCTAAAGAGTAGAGTGTTTTTTTCATAATGCAGCAGCATCTAAGATCAGGCATGGTTGGAGTGGCCACCTATGCTCTTTGTCTCACCATTTCCTTCAGAATGTCATGGAGGAAATGAACCTTTGTGTCTTTTTAAACTCTTCTGCTCAAAAGGCAGATTGGTTTCCAGTCTTGTTTATCTTTTTCTTTTCATTTAAGAGTTTGGGCATCTGATAGTTCCTTATGGTTTTTAGAAGGTAGAATGTTTTCCCATAACACAGAAGCATGTAAAGTCACTCTTGGGCTGACTGCCACCTGCACTTCTCTGGGCTCACCACTTATTGCAGAGCATCATGAAGATGGACACTGGTGTCCTTTTAAACTCGAATACCCAGAAGGTGTCACTCATCATCATTGCCAGTGCTGTTACCTTTTTCTTTTCTTTGACTATTTGTTCAGGGAAAATATTTTATTTTATTACTGCTAAAGTGTATGCATAGAAACAAAATAAAGACAAGGATTCTTTGGGATAACTAATCCAAAGTCGAAGTGAGTCAATTTGCCATTGGAACATGTATTTTTACAAAGCAGCTCTTATTTATTTATTTATTTATTTATTTAGGATTCTTTTAATTTTAATCTTTTTTTTTAGTCATCCATGACAGTAGAATGCATTTTGACATATAATACATACATGGAATGTACATACATCAATCATATTGTCTATTCTATTCTGCTGCCCTTCCTATCCTCCCTACTCCTCCCCTCCTCTCCCATCCTTTCTCTCTATCCAATCTAATGTGACACACTTTTTTTTTCTTTTTCTCATCACAACATCATATATGTATTCTGTATAACAATGAGGTTCTCCTTCCATCTTCTGTGCAACTCCCCTCTCCCTCTTTTTCCCTCCCACCTCTCTTCCTTATTTAGTGGTAGTCTTCTTCTCATGCTCTTCCTCCCTATCCCATTTTGAGTCACCCCCCTTCTATCAGAGAAGACATTTGGGATTTGTTTTTTAGGGATTGGCTAACTTCACTTAGCATAATCTGCTCTAATGCCATCCATTTGCCTGCAAATGCCACGACTTTATTATTTTTTAGTGTTGAGTAATATTCCATTGTGTATAAATGCCACATTTTTAAAATCCATTCATCTATTGAAGGGTATCTAGGTTGGTTCCACATTATAGCTATTGTAAATTGTGCTCAAAGCAGCCCTTCTGATAAAATTCAGCCATGAGTTCAAATAGAATCTCATTTTTTCCTCTAGTCTAAAGTGATCAAGTTTTTAGAAGTACCTAGTGACAAGTTTACATGTGTTGTTACTTCAACACAGAACGTAACAGAGGCACTTGTCTTGAATTAAATATTAGCTTGAGTTATTTAATTTTTGTGTTATAATAAATTTTGTGTTCATAATAAAATACAGAACTAGCTAATAGTGTCATTTACCAGTAATTAACTATACAAATAATTAAAAAAAACAGGTGTTTCTGAAAATGTAGCCATGTTTATTTATTTACTTTTTAGTTTTAGGTGGACACAATATCTTTATTTTACATTTATGTGGTGCTGAGGATTGAACCCAATGCCTTGTGCATACTAGGTGAGCTCTCTACCACGGGGCCACAACCCCAGCCCGAAAATGAAGCTATGTTTAAAGTTTTATTTGAGTATCTTTATACAAAAATTTCAAAGAAAGCCTCAATCTGTTTTTTCCCTTGTGATGACTTATGTGCACTATCTCAGATATATTAACATCTTAGACCATTTTTCATGAAGAATAAATACTAGTATGCTATAATTAACTGAAGTTGTATTTCCTTTGGATTCTCAGTTCTGCCTCTTCCTGTTTCAGGGCCCCATCCAGGATCCCAAATGATATCCAGTCAACATGTCTCTGTAGACTCCTCTTGGGGTGACAGTTTCTCTGAACTTCCTTGTCCAGTGACCTCGGCACCATGGGGAGGACCTGTCAGACTGAGTGAGAGTACAGAGCAGAGACAGCCCAGCACAGGGCAGTTTCCCACTGGGTGATGCTAAAGCCCTGTGAGCACCTAGTGCGGGGAGATCCTGCTCTCAGGGGGACCAGAGCAGCCATCCGACCACCTCACCACGCAGCTCTTGCATGTGTAATAATTTGTTTAAAGTTAGAAGCTGTGTTACTGACCAAGACCTGTGATCACGACTGTAGTCCTGATGTAAGCAAATGGTCAGGTATTTTTTAGATTGTTCTACTTTGGGGTTTACTTGTTTTCCCTCACATTTAGACTTGCGCCATGTGTCTGGGGGAAGCAGTCACAGAGGTAGAGAGCTGCTCTGTCATCTCAAGCCCTCAAGGTGAATGTTATTTTAGTACGAGGGTGCTCAGCTGGCTGGGGGAGTGCCTTTCATGTTTCCTTGTTTTTCTTGTATTTAGCCTAGGGCTGTGAATCTGGGGGAAGCAGGTCACAGAGGTGGACAATGCTTTGTCATTTCAGACCCTCAAGGTGAATGTCATGTTAGTAATAACTGTGCTCACATGGCTGAGATAGTACCTTTCAAGTTTCTCTCTGTCGAGTTACTATTCTCTGCATGTCCACATTGTCTGTGTTTTCTGGAGGAAGTCATTTTACGGGGCCCACACTTAAGGAACAGGGAGTTACCTTCACCTCCTCAATGGCCTTGTCTGCCTTAGTTATTTGGTATGCATCTACACAAGAGGTTTCTGCACAAGAGAATTGCATATTGTAAATAATTTATCTCAATCTATAGCTTTTCTTTTTGTTCTCTTTCACAGAGTATAAAATTTATTTTTTTCATGTTGCCGCAGTCTGGCTGGGCACAAAATAACTGAGCCACCACGAGGCACTTGTAGGTTCAAACAGGAACTACTTTATTGCCAGAACCCCACCAGAACACTCCCCAACTCCTCAGAAAACCCATGAGAACCAACGGGAACTCCACGGGAACTCTGCGAGAACTCAACGGGAACTCAACGAGAACTCCACAAGAACTCAAAAGTAGTGGGCACTCGAGATAGCAGGAGCCGCCCCACTGCTGGACAGCAGAGGTTTATATATACAACTGAATATGCTGGCATTACTTCTCAACCACTCCTTCTGGCAAAATGCCAGGCGCCATCCCGACCTGGTTGTGGCTCTCAACATCTCCCCCCTTCTGTGTAATTAAACAAGCATGTGGCTTAGGGACAGTGCCTGTCTTAGGTTGTCCAATACTACATATGGTCCTTACCCGTCATCGGATGAGCTGACCTCAAGGTGTCAGCCTCCTGTCTTAGGTTGGTACCATTGTAATTGGATCTTACCCATCATTGACTACCGGCCCAGCATTTTTAGCCACACTTGTGGATACAAACACCATAAACAATCTGCTACAAGCAGAAGGGGAGGATACAAAATGCCACAACAACAAGCCAATTGATGGCTCCTTTTGGAAAAATTGTACCACCTATGACACCATTGGCAAAGATACCCCAGCACCACCACTATTTGCTGCACTAACAGATAGTTCACAATGCATACAAGTGATACATAGTCCAGGCAAGTTCTGCAAGTAGTTCAAAGTAGAGGAATCTATTAATATGTCCATTTCCTCCCAAAGTAAATAGACTCCTTGATTGAGTATCACTTGTTGAGTTACATTATTCATTGATGTATCAGTTTATACAGTTTGTTGTGATAGCCATTGCAGAAGCTGTACTTTGGTTTTATCTTTGTCTTTACCGGCACTGGGATGAAGATAGGAATTCTGGCAATGATGGCTAAAAAAAAATTATGTAACATTAGCAGGCACTAAAAGAAAGCAATTTTCTAAACAATTTAGTATCCTGAATAGAATTAGATATAATGAAAAGGAAAGGTGAAAGTAAACAAACAGATCTGTTAACCTCCTTTTTTGTTCACATATTAAAACAATCCTCAACAGCTGTTTACCCAATTTAAATTAAACCATTTAAATCATAGGAATAATAAAAAAAAAAATTTGGATCCATTTTCTCATGAGCACTCCTCATATATGATATATGGACATATGCACATACAGACATACAACACAAAACACAAGTGTGCACACATAATACAATACATACAACACATAACATAATAGTAAAGGCCTTATAGCTTTTCACAGGTGAAATCCCCATTGCAATGCTCAAAAACTCCACAGTCAAAAAATAGAGCTGATCAGAAAAACATTAACTTAGGTCTATATGAGCTCAAAAAAAAACAAAAAAACAAAAAAAACAAAATAGAACTTCATGATGTGGGAAAGGGCAATAAAAAAATAGATATTGAAAAAAGCATCCTGGTTACCACCTGGGTTTGACTCTTCTTTTGATATCCCATCCTTTTTTTTTCCTTTTTCTTTTTTTTTTCCTGTAACTTGCATATGGGTCTGAATGTATTCCTACAAGCAAGACCCAAGGTTTTTTTACATTTGAAATAGGCCTTAATGGTGTTCATTATTCATTAGCCTCCAGGTGTGGGAGAACCACTGTCACAGATGTAAGGATAGCCAAACTGGAGTTCTGGATATCAGCTGTTATGGATTGATTGAGCCAAATCATCTTCTTTTTGGTCTGTAGAAATCGCTTTAGTTAATCTCTCTGGAATCCAAATCAGGTGCTGTTCTCCCTGTGGAAACACACAAACAGACCCCCGACTCCAGACAATCACTGGGTCAGGACCTTTCCATTGTCTTGTTAGAATATCCTTCCAAAGTACCTTGGGCTTATGTACATTTTTTGGACACATATGCCTATCCGCAACAGTAAGCCCTGATGAATCCAAATTTTAAAAGTTTAGAGTAAAAAGGGTTATTTTAAGTTTATCTTTGGGGGATATATACCTCTTCCCAATTCCCTCTTTTTGCTTTAATAAGTACATTTTAATAGTTTGATGAGCTCTTTCAACTATACCTTGGCCCTGTGGATTGTATGGGATTCCTGTTATATGAGTAGTGCCAAATGATGAGCAAAATTGTTTAAAAGAGGTAGAAGTATAGCCAGGGCCATTATCTGTCTTTAACTGTTATGGAACACCCACAGTGGCAAAATTTTGTAGGCAATGAGCTATAATATCTTTAGTTTGTTCTCCGGCATGAAGGGAGCCTATCAAAAATCCGGAAGAAATATCAACTGTAACATGCAAATATTTTAATTTTCCAAATTCTGGCAATTGTGTGACGTCCATCTGCCACATATGGTTAGGTATCTGTTGAGAGCCACAGCAGAAGGGGCCCCAGCAAACTTCCAGCTGCCAGCAAACTTCCAGCTGCCGGCTGATGATTGGCTCACAGTGGCCCCAGCAACATCTAGCTGATTGGCTCCTCGGCCCCAGCAACATCTAGCTGATTGGCTCCTCTGTGGTGATGCTCATTGGGCTGTTTCCCTGCCCTTTCAGACCACGGAGCTGCTCATTGGGGGACTTTTTTGGCTCCGCCCACGTGACCCAGCCAATCGGCCTCAAGAGCAGGAGGATTGTGGGAGGTGGAGAGAAGCTTGTGTGGGAGAGAGAGGCTTGTGGGAAGCCGGTGGTGGCAGTTGAGGCTCTGAGGGTTTTTCCTGAGAGGCTGTTTTGTTTGGCGTGTGTGGTTCTAAAAATAAAGTTAGTTTCTTTTGACAAGTGGCTCCTGATTGTGCCCAGCCAGACTGCAGCAGGTATCAGTCCTCTAGGATTGACTGCAAGATTAACTTGTGGTAAAAAGGTCACACAATTTTGACATTGTTTTATTATTTGTCTAGCTTGTTCCTTAGTTATTTTAAAATGCTTTTGTAAAGTATTAGCATTGACATGGAACTTTTTATGAAAATTTGTAGCTTCTTCTAGTGTAGAGAAAATATGTATGTCATGTGTAGTTTTATCTGCTAAATCATTGCTCAAACTAAGGGCTCCAGGCAATCCTGTATGTGCCCTGATATGTCCTATAAAGAATGGTTCTTTTCTGTCCCAGATTAGACTTTGTATAGTGGAAAACAAAGAGAAAATAGTAGAGGAAGGGGAAATCCTACAGCATCTTCAAGGGATACTATAGCATTAACTATATACGGACTATCAGAAAATAAATTAAATACAGAATCTTTAAACATCACAAAAGCTTATAATACTGCATTAAGGTCTACATTTTAAGCTGATTGTTTGGGTACTAAAAATGTAAAAGTTTGATCAGGGGTAACTACTGCTGCTGTACTTTTATTTGACCCATCAGTGAATATATTTGGAGCATTCACGATAGGTGTTTTTCTTGTCATTTTTGGAAAAACTACAGGATGCTTAGACCAAAAAGACAACAAAGGATTAGATGGTAAGTGGTTATCAAATGAAACATTAGATTTGCACATGATTATTGCCCAAGTATTTAACTCATTAGCTAACTCATCAATTTGATCCATTGTATATGGAGTAATAATTTTATTAGGATAAATTCCAAACACTCCCTTTGCTGCTTTTATTCCTTTGAGTATTAATTATCCTACAGCCTCAGGATACCTAGTAAGAATATTATTAGGAGAATAAGATAAATGTATCCATAATAATGGACCTTCTTGCAAAAATACTCCTGTTGGAATATTTTTGTTGGTAGTACAATAAATAATAAAGGCAAAATTATATCAATTCTATACAAATGCATATTTTTCATATATGTTTCAATGACTTTTAATGTCTTTCTTGCTTCAGGAGTTAACATGCGGGGTGAATTTGGATCTGATGGACCTTTTAGGATATCAAATAAAGGTCCCAACTCTCCTGTTGGTATGTCTAGATAAAGTCTTATCCAATTTATGTCTCCTAATAACTTTTGAAAGTCATTAAGTGATTTGAGTTGATCTACTCGTATTTGAATTTTGGTGGATGGACCATGGTTGAGGATAATAGAACTCCTAAATAATTAATTGGATAATTTAATTGTACTTTATCTATTGCTATCTCTAGATTATAATTTTTTAATAAGTTTGTAAGTGTGGCATAACATTCTAGCAATGTTTTTTTATATTTGTGTGCTATTAATACATCATCCATATAGTGAAATATCTGTAGTTCAGGATTTTGATTTCTAAGTGGCTGGATTGCTTTGTTAACATAAATTTGACACATAGTTGGGCTGTTAGCCATCCCTTGAGAGAGTACTTTCCATTCATATCTCTGATCGGGACCTTCATAATTCAATGCAGGGATAGTAAATGCAAAACGTGGATTGTCCTCAGGATGAATTGGAATTGAAAAAAACAATCTTTAATATCTATAACTAAAACATACCAGGTTTTTGGCAAAGCAGACAATTGAGGAATCCCCAATTAAGCAGGTTAGGGTTAGGGTTAGGGTTAGGCTATAATTTTTATTTCACTTTCATAATCGGGATCAATTACCCAAGGACTTATCATAAGTCCTTTTAGAGTAGAATAACTGCATCCCAATAATAAGTCTACTGTTCTTTGGTGGTTTGAGAACGGCGTTCATTAGCCCAATGTCTCCCTCTATGGCATCGTGGGCAAATACCCTGTATTCTTCCCCTTTGAGCATATCCAGTTTTGTTAAACCCTCCTCCTATGGAGCAACTCCTTCTAAAATGTCCTGTTTGTCCACAATTGTAGCATGTTTTTGGCCTGGCACCTAAAGCCTATTGTACTGCAACTGCCAAGACTTGCCCTTGTTCATTATTGTCTCTACATAATTTAATATATGTGTTTAAATCTTCATGTTTCCATGGTCTAATGGCCTCCTTGCACCATCTATTTGCTTGTTCATAGGCTAGCTGTTTTATTAATGGCATTGCTTGTTCTGTATTCCCAAAAACTCTGGTAGCTGTTTGAATAAGCCTATCTACAAATTCAGCGTAAGGTTCATTAGCTCCTTATATTACCTTAGATAATTGACCTTGTAAATCTCCATGTCATTGTAAAGTCTTCCATGCCCTATCTGCATCTGCAGTAATTTGTGTGAGTATGGCAGGATCATATGCAATTTGTTGCTGCTGACCCTCATTAGGTCCCTTTCCCAACAACAGATCTAGATTTCTCTGAGGATAACCAGCTGTTGCATTTTGCCTAGTCGTCTCCATGCAATATTCCTGATTGGCAACCTTCCATAACAGATATTGTCCTCCATTTAACACAGCTTTGCACATACTAGTCCAATCTGCTGGTGTCATGTCCAAGTTGGTAATGGATTCTACCATACTTACAGTGAAGGGTTCTTGAGGACCATAGATTGTTACAGCCTCTTTTAGCTGCTTCACTGTTTTGAAATCTAGAGCATGGTGAATTCGCTGCCCTCCTGTCCTCTCAAATACAGGGCATGCTAATCTTTGAGGTCCTGTCTCAGGCTCCCATCTATCAACTATGGTGGTTGGGGGCCACCCAGCATATGTTGTCTCCCTAGGTGGAGCTGTTGGTTGTACACTTATGCCTTCTGGTGATAGAAAGGTGTTAGTAGCAGCCTCCTGTTGTAACTTCTCTCCTGATAGCCCTTCCTCCTTTAAACTTTCTTCCTCTGTCTGACTAGCTCGAAAGACCTTCTGTTTTACTTGATCTAACATGTCTTCTACCATAGTCTGAACTGAAGGCTTTGAACTAGGCAAACAAAATCATATCATCATCCACAATGGCAATGTGCTAACTGGCAGAGTTCCTGGGTTTTTCTTTTCCCTCTCCCTTAAATCTCTACCATGATGGTCCCATTGTGATATATTCAACAACTCCTCCTTAAAAAGCCAAGGGCTACATTTTTGTATTGTATCAACATATGCCCTAACTGTTCTTGGTTTTACTGTGGTGCCTCCTTCCTCTAGCAATTTACTTAACACTCTTTTGGTTTGTTTTTTTACTAATTTCTGATCTCATATTTCTACTATAAATATAACGCAACCCAATAAGATATCACAAAACAAAACCGAAACAGAATGAAACAATAACGGAACAAAACTGCATTGTATCAATTTTCCTATTTTCTTGAAATGTATATTTGTGGTCTATCTTTATCTCTTCCTCAAGGCCAAACAACTTTTCTAGCATCCTATTTATTTCTAGGGGCAGGCAGCTTGAAACAGAAACGTAGCAAATCAAAACAAGAACACATTTCTTTTTTGAAATGGTCACCCATTCTCTCACCCTGCCCTCAGGGGCGAGAAACTTCACTTACCCCCAAGCTTCAGGTGTCCCCTGCATGGGCCACCAAATGCTGAAGTCTGGCTAGGCACAAAATAACCGAGCTGCCACAAGGCACTTGTAGGTTCAAACAAGAACTACTTTATTGCCAGAACTCCACCAGAACACTCCCCAACTCCTCAGAAAACCCGCGAGAACCAACGGGAACTCCATGAGAACTCAAAAGTAGCGGGCACTCGAGGTAGCAGGAGCCGCCCCACTGCCAGACAGCAGAGGTTTATATATACAACTGAATACGCTGGCGTTACTTCTCAACCACTCCTTCTGGCAAAATGCCAGGTGCCATCCCGACCTGGTTGTGGCTCTCAACATCATGTGATACTGGGGATTGAACCCAGGGCCTCACATATGCCATGCAAATGCTCTACCACTGAGCTATACCCCATCCTTTTAAAAATCTTCCATACTGGCCTTGAATTTGCAATCTCCCTGCCTCAGCCTTTTGAGTAATTAGGATTCTTGGCATGCAATACCACACTCGGTAAAAATTTAATTTTATAAATTCCATGCTATCAATATTTTCTTCTGCCAATTTAATTTTAGTATTGTGTGTTAAAACTCATCACCAAGGGCTAGGGATATAGCTGAGTATTATAGCTGAGGTTATATGTAGCTGAGGTTGTCCAACATGTGTGCAGCCCTGCATTTGATCCCCAGTTCCAGAAAACACACACACACACACACACACAGTTACCACTCTCTAAGATTACATGGATTTTCTTCTGTTTCTGTTTAAATTTTTTTTTTCTCAAATTTTAGTTATGGACGATTCTGAGTCAAGTTTTGTGGAAATTTCGGTTTGCATATACATTCATTTCACTGAATATAGTTTCCAAAAGCTTGTTCAATCAACACTTTTTGACATAGTGTTTAATGAGTTTCATTTCCATTTGAATTTCCAAAATCATGGCCTTGAATAATCTGGATAGAGTACAGAAGTTCATCTATTTCCCAGGAATGCCAGAAGGGGACATAAATGCACCTCTGAACTGCAGTGTCCTGCACTGAGTCCCAGCAGCCACCAGAGGGCATGTCACCTTCCTGGACCCGGTGGTAACATGCTTCTGATATGGCGATGTGATAGGGCTAACATGTTATTTATATGCAGCCTCTAATGCTAATGCATTATCCATAGTGACTTTTGATACTAACGTGTCCACATGGGGTCTCTTATAGTAATATAGTGCCCATAGCTTTATTACATTCAGCCCTATCTTCTTTTAACATTAGTATAATGTCCACATTGTAGCCTCTAATGTTAATGTAATATCCATTTTAAACTACTATAACAGGTGCCCTGTGGACTTTAATACTAATGTAACATCTACATGATGAAATCTGATTCCAATATAAAACTGACCTTTGACTAATATAATATCCATACTACTACTGATATAATATCCATACTATAGCATATGAAACTCATAAAATAGGAGGGCGGCTTACTTCGCCATGGCGGTTACCCTCAGCCTATTGCTGGGCGGCCGAGTCAGTACTGCTGTCGCTGCCATGGGTTCGCCACCTGAGGGCTGGCGGGCTCAGGCCCTATGGATTCCAGGCTCAGACCGGATTCCAACTGGGAGCCAGAGGAGCGGGAGCTGCGGGAGGTAGAGAGGCCAGCTCCTTTCCCGCCCCAGCCTGAAGCTGGCCTTGGGCCTCAGCGCTTGGGGCCGCGCCCCCATACGCCAGGTGTCCTCCACTGGGACTCTAGTTTCTTCTTACCTGTTGTTAGCGGCGTTGCGACAGATGTTCAGCTCCCTTGGGACACAGGTTCTTTCGCTAGTGACGTATATTTCGTCACACTTTTAGATAGTTCAGCATGCTTACAGGCAATTATTGTTGTAGGTGTTAGATTTTTGGGTTGGTGCACAGAGTGGTGTTAAGCTGGCAAACGTGGCCCGTGGCCTTTACTGACACAAAAGAGGCCTGGGCTCTTGGTGATTTAGCCCGAGACTTTTCAAACACCCATCTTGCTTCCACGCATGGCTTCTGCCATTGGTTCTCTCCCCCAGCACCCTGAAAGGACAGAAAAAAGCAATTCAATTCCAGAAAATTCGGCAAATGGAGGCGCCAGGTGCCCCGCCCAGAACTCTGATATGGGAAGCCATGGAGCAGATACGGTATTTACATAAGGAATTTGCTGAGTCCTGGTCAGTTCCCAGGTTGGCTGAAGGTTTTGATGTCAGCACGGATGTTATCTGAAGGGTTTTAAAAAGTAAATTTGTACCCACATTGGAACAGAAACTGAAGCAGGATCAAAAAGTCCTTAAGAAAGCTGAGTTTGCCCACTCACTCCCGCAGCTCC